ACCTTTCCCATGGCTGGGGGGCGAGCTGCCGGCAGGCCTTGAGCTGCAGGGGACCCTGGTGCTCCTATCCGCAGTGGTTGCACCCCCTGGGACCACCCAGGTGGTGTGCCGGGTGCTGCCGCCACGGAGAGAAACACAGGGGTCCCCCATAGATCAGGAGTTGTGTGAGCTGCTGGCAGCTCGCCTTCCAGCTGCAGGAGGAAAAAAAATTCAGGCCCCTCGCTGCTCTTTTTTCACCCTCTGCAGTGCCTGCCCATGTGAGCTGCTGCCAGGTCGTCCAGCCCCTGAGTTGGGGGGGGGAGGGGCGGGGGGGTGCTTCCCTCTGCAGCAGTCACATGGGCAGCTTTATGTAGCCTTTTTGAGGCTGAGAAGTTTTGATTCTGTTAAAGTATTCGGTCAGAAGGATAACTAAAAATCCTGTATTTAAAGAAATACTTTGGCAATAAAAATGTCATCACAAATGTTTTGTGGGTTTCAGCTGGTATTTAATAGTGGAGGTGGAATTTGGAAAATGTTTAAACTTGCAGAGCAAGCCCACACAACCCCTTATCTAATACAAAGTTAGGAAAAATACTGTAATCATTATATTGTAGCCCCCCTCCACTATAGAAAGGATGTGGTCAAATTGGAGAGAGTCTAGTGGAGTGCAATGGAAATGGTTGGGAGGCTGGACAACATGACTTATGAAGAGAGGCCGAGGGAACTGGGATTATTTAGCCTGGAGAAGAGAAGACTGAGAGGGGATTTAATAGCAGCTTTCAACTACCTGAAGGGGGCTCGAAAGAGGATGGAGCTGGACTGTTCTCACTGATGGCAGATGAGTGAACAAGGAGCAATGGACTCAAGTTGCAGCAAGGAAAGTTTAGGTTGGATGTTAGGAAGAATTTTCTCACTAGGAGGATAGTAAAACACTGGAAGAAGCTTCCTAGAGAGGTTATGGAGCCTCCATTCTTGGAGGTTTTTAAGACCCAAGTAGACAAAGCCTTGGCTGGGATGATCTAGTTAGGCAGGCTTGGACTAGATGACCTGAGGTCCCTCCCAACCCTAATTTTCTATGATCCTATGATACTATTTCAAATGATCCAATTGAAGTAGGCTACTGGGACTTACCTTTCTTTTGGGAAACATGGCATAGGACCTTTAGTAACCACAGATGTTGTAGACCTCATCTAGAAGCGGGCGCCATCCTCCCTAATGCACTTAGTTTCATATTAACTTACAGGAATAGGTGTCACTTGTAAATTCCCCAACACTTAGGAACATTTGACCAGGAAAGACCTTCTGGGTCATCAAGTCCAGTCTTTACTATTACTAGCAATCACTTCACATATCTTCACATTAATAAACTTATGAGACTTAAACTACTTAAGGGTTTTTCTTTCCACTACCCCACTTGGAAGGCTGATCCAGAACTTCACTCTTCTAGAAACCTCCTAATTTCCACACTATCTTTGTTCAATGTATGCCCATTTGGTCTTGTCCCAACATTGTCATTTAGTTTCAGTAGCTATTCTCTCGCACTGGTGTTAATCCCCACGCTTCAGTTTGTCTTAACCATCTATTCACATCATGTCTCCTCACACAATTTACAATGGTACAGCTCTCAGTGGTAAACTTCCATTCACCAACCAAAAAAAAAGTCAAGCTTCTTTTATTATCATAACACGCAACTGCTGGAAACTTTTGGTTGGAGGCAAAGATAACTGAGCTCTTTTTAAGGCAGTCATTTACTGTACCTTTTTTTGCACAATGCCATATTTCAACTGAGGTGTATTATTAAATGTAAAACTCTGTATTTTCCATTCTTCACTGAAGCAACAAAGGCTTGAGCCAAACAAAAGATTTTTTATTTCCTGAAAAAAAAAAAAGGGAGGGGGGAAAAAAAAAGTCTCATTTTAAAAAGAAATCCGAAATGTAGGTATATATATGTGTCCTTTTTTTTTTTTGCAGTAATTTGTAACAAGGAGGAGGAGTATGGCAGGATAATGACTAACTCTATATAACCGTCCTTTTAATTTTTTGTTTTATAAATACAGTAAATAGCAGGGCTATTTAACTGAGAAGGAATAATTTTTTCCTTTCCCTGCAATGTTCCTTAAACACATAATGCTAGGAGCTGCTCAGCCTTAGGAGTCTTTTTTTTTCTGTAGCTCATCTAAGACCGAGATCTCCTTGAAAGATTTATTGACCGTTGGCTCAGATGGAGCCACAGGAGTAATACACCTACTGCTGCTTACGAGCAGATGATTGTCAAGGTGTGACAGGCCTTTTTTTGAATATTTTCCACCTTCTCATGTCCCCAGTAATGTACATTATGGCATAAAATATAAAGTGTCAGAAAATAACCCTGCTGGGGCATGTCATGGAGACTAGAAAGTCTGTTCTGCCTGTCAAAGGCCGTAGTTTGAGGCAGATGATATTCAAAGGTTTGACGTGGGACAGACATATCAAATCCAGGTATTACTTCCCAACCAAATTCAGGTTTGAAACTCGCTAGTGTAACACAGAGTAACAAGAGCCCCCTCCTCAGCGTTATCCCCTCCTTGGGTCCAGAAACTGGAGTGGAAGATATTGCCACATTTTTTGCTGCTTTTTAAGTTGAGGAAGTCCAAAAGAGGGCTATGAGTATGGTTAGAGGCAGGCCATATTCATGACAGGCTGAGAGACATGGGTCTGTTCAGCCTGGAGAAGAGAAGACATAGAGGGGACTTAATGGCAGCCTATAAGGGGCACGTATCAGGGGCTGGGAGCTCCCTGGGGGAAGACTACAACTAACTGTCATAAATTACTAGAAGACCACTTTAGGTTAGACATAAGGAAAAACTTTCTTTACCACTCCAGTGTCCAGGGGTCTGGAATAGATGCCCCCCGGGGGTGGTATAAATCACCTACTCTGGATATCTTCAAAAAACATCTGGATGTGCACCTTGCTGGTATCATCTGACCCCAGCAGTGCTTCCTACCCAAGTGCAGGGGAGCTGGACCCAATGATCTCAAGAGATCCCTTCCAGACCCTTACATTTATGAATCAATGAATCTATGAATTATAGTACATATTCCCCAAATAAGAAAGGAAAAGTATCATTAGAAAATGATGGGGGGGGGATAAAGTGAATCAAATTACTTTGGATTTCTAGAAATATTTGGCTTGGAGGATAGGTAGACAACTATATTTGTTTCAGAAAGAGACAAACGTGAAGGTACAGAAAGTCTCTTATTAACTCCAAACCACTTCATTTATAACTAGCCGTAATCTAAGGGTGTTAATGAGGAAGTATGTATCTTCTCCTTTGCCAGACACACAGTACCCATTTACAGAAAGGGCCTGACTGAACTCAAATTGAAGCGACAGACTTGGGAGTTTTCCTACTGACTTCAATGAGCACTTGATCAGGCCCAAAGTGCCACGTGAAAAAGAAATTCTAATCCATTTGGGAGGTTTCATAGACCTAAACATACCCTATGACATCATAATATCTTGCATCCCTTCTATTCATTTCATTCAAGGACCTGAAAACATTCTAAAAATGTAATTGTTTAATGAATTCTTCCAATATAATTCTGCAAAGGTATATATACGAATAGTCCCATTTGAGAAATACATTAACATTGAGGTCGGAGCAAAAATGACTTTCCCGATGTCAGTGGCAAAACAAATCAGAAACCCTGTGTTCCTTCCTGCACATTCCACCGCTAAACACCCTGTCAAAGATGTAAATAAACTGAAATCCTCAACAAAGGAGTGTCTGAAAATGCAATTTTATGGCTATTAGGAATTAGTAGCCTAAGACTTCTACATGTACTAAATCTTAAAAAACCCCAAAAAACAAAAAAAAAAAGCAGAAATCTATTGTAGCTTTGGCTTACTTAATAGAAATAACATACTTTACCACATCATTTGGTTTTTACTGGTATAACTTTGTCTTACTTTTGCAAGGGAAATATCCATTGCCTTTGAATCTACTTGAAGCGTGCAGAGTGTCGAATGGTCTGGGATCTTGCTAACTTCCCCAACTGCTGCTTCATCCTCGACATCAACTGAAAGAGAAGACAGCTTGTAAATCGGCAAAGCACGGCTGGTGAACACAGTGCTGCCATTTCGTATCCCCGTGCCAGCCGCTGCTAACAGTTCAACAAAAACTTCTATGAACCAATAACTTATTTTGCTGAAGAGCCCTCCTGACTTTAATAGTGGTGATTAAAATGGCCTCACGAGGGCTGCAAATTATACAATTTTATATAAGGAAGTAACAAGCAACTCTTAACAGCCAAAATCAACTGATGAGTGTTTACCAAGAAGAAAAAGAGTGGGAGCACCATTTTGCATTGTATTACAGTTGCTGTGTTTGGTACAGAAGCAAACCACAAAAGCAAAGTCTGATGAACATACCTAGTTCTAAGGCATCTTTCATCAGGTCGCCTTTATTGGAAATGGATGTTGGCGCCTTTCTAAATTAAAATAAATGAGAGAACAAGTTACACATGTTTACTTGACATGAAAGAACAATAGAGAAAGTTCAAATGCACAGGTGTCCATCTGCAGTAGGTATGTGTAGTTACTCTTTCTTTGATAATAAGGATTAAATCTTTCACACGGAGCTATGAAGTTTGGCACCTAAATATGTCATCAGATTTTCAGAGGTGTGTTCGGTTTGCTGTTCCCATTGACTTCACATCAAAGTGAATTCAGCATTAGGGAAACAAATTCAAATGACCACTGTTAATCTGTAATTCTTGTACTGAGGGGCTACTGCTGCTGCCAACATTAAAATGATTTCAAAAAAATAAAAATACTGAATCATTTTTCTTCAGTTTGATTGCTTTGGAAAAAATGGGTTGTAAATCACAATTCTTTCAAAACCAGTATGGAATAATTTCCTTAGTGACATTCTTCGTATGCCCGATATTATTATAGCAACAATTGCTGTCATATTGCATAGTTTCCATTACCTTAATTTCCTTTTCCACCCTGTGAAAGGAGATGAATGAAAGCAGTATACATGCGTACGCACATACACGACAACACCTCCAGACTTTTTTCGTCTGAAAACTTTCTGGCATCTTTCTCGCTGAGCGCTTTCTATAATAAAAAGGCACGAACCACAGTTCCATTTTTCTCCCCAAAAGCATTAAGAACTTCAACAAAATTCGGCCAAACACAGATAGCCATGACACACCGACATTTTAGAATGGAAATAAATCACTTACTAAGTACCGGTGAGTCAAAATATGGGAAAACGAATGTCCCAAGACCTCAGTAAGTTGGTTGAGAGCAAATATGCATAGTGATGTATAAAAGGCTTTGATTTATACTGGCACATAACAGCACAATTTACCATTGTGTATGTTACAATACAAACAAATTGCATTTGAAAAGTAATGAATCTTTCTAAGATTGGATTTCTTCATTCTTCTAGGAATTATATATTTTTCCTGTTACTTTCTAACATCTTTCCAGCTGGTCCGGTGGAGAGGAATTTTGTTTTCACTTGAACACTGAAGTCACTAAACTACCCTAAGCCAAATTCACCATTTGCATTTTTGTTTGGTCAGAAAATGGAAATGATTATTCCTTTTTCTGAAATAAAAACTTGTTTTCCTTCAAGGTCAGTCTCTTAGGGGCTAATCTGATAAAAAAGACAGCAGTTCTGAAATCTGAGAACGCTAATATTCAGTGTGGACATAGAAGACAATTCATTTATTACACTTTTATTAGGAAGTAATTGCAAATGCCTAAGGCAGCAGTGTTTACACTCAAAAGAGCATGTGAGTTATGAGAAAACCCGCTTATCTTCCTTTGTATTACATTGCATTTTGCTACATGGAGGATCCAAGATTTAGTTGCCAGTTGAACCACACCAAAGAGACGGGACATGTTACAGAGAAGAAGACTGCTAAATTCTCCCCATGGCAGTCTATATTGGAAGGGAAGGGTCCAGCCCGAGAAGAAGCCTACCTTGTATCCATAAATCATTGACACCTCTCTCTCTTTCTAGGTCTTACAAGCTTTCCCCTCCATTGCAGTACATGAGCATGTCACAAACATAAGCCAATTAAATCTCACAACATTATCAAGAAGCATGGATAATGTCCCCACTAGCCCTATATAGAACGAATGTCACATAAAATAAACACATGAAAGGATGGCTAATTGACAAGTCTCAAAAAAAAAAGTCACTGCAAATAGGGATTCATTATTCATTCTTAGTGGGCTCACAGAGAGACCTGTTTGTGGCTCTACAGGAAAGCAAAATCATTGCTGGTAAAGTTGATCGATGAGACAAATGCTGGAAAAGGGGAAAATGATCATGACAGGTTGTTTTACAGAATGCCCTGGGTAAGCTGGATTCACTTAGCCTGTGATTTCCTATTAGTACCTAATTTGTAATGACCCCAATGTGGCAAAGTGGGGCTCCCTGCCTAGCCACAGTGCTAGGTTCCCCACTTGCCTTTGGGCACGCCCCTCACCTGACTCACCTGCCATGCCTTGCTCTTAATTAAGATGATAATTAAGGTGGGAGGCTACCCACTCATGCCCCGATGCCACGGGGCGCTATCTGCGGCCCCATACCTTCCCTACACCACAGCCCAAGCCTCGCAGATGGCATCCAGATGACACAGTGCTCCCAGCCTACAGCGGGACCAAGCTTAGGCCTCATCGTCAGGCCTCAGTCACACACACATTCATACCGCCCTCCTCTCACTAGGGCCTCTCACACTCTGCCCTCTCTCACAGGGGATTTTTCATGCATCAACAACTCATCCTGCCTTGCTTCCTCTTGGAGCGAGCCCCTTAGGCCATAGGCTTAGCTAGTCCATTCCTTGGGTGTTAGACATACTATCTTTTGGGCCTCTCCTGTGACCCTGACCGGGGTAGTGGCCAGCAAATTACCCGACCGGGTCTAAGCTTGCTCTGGCCCCATATATATATATATATATATATATATATATATATATA